TTCGGTTTAACTGAATTACATAGCATTGCAACTCTTATCTTGTGTCAAATCCTGTTATATGCACCAGGCAGTATTCAGAAAAAACAAGGTCCAAACCAAGGTCAATCAGCTCTATGACTTTCAGGACCCTAAGCCAGGAGCAAATGCAAGGTCAGTGTGCAAATTTCAATACTATGCCAATCATACATTGAAAAGGCATGGCATCTTTGAGTGTGGACTCCTGTGTGATAGTATAGACTGGCCCCCATGCCTGTGACACAGGGCCCAGTAGATATGGTCTCTGTTTCTATTATTCACATAGTTTCATGGTGAAAAAATCTAGAGGTGAAAGAGAAGAAGTGTGTGATAAGAGTCAGGTAACAGAAGGAAGGGAGTGGTAATGGGTGTCAGGTAGCAGAAGAAAGGAAGTGTGTAGGTAACAGAAAAGAAGGCATTCTACAATAATAACTTGTAAATGTTGAATTGAGATGAAATTTGAAGCATGCGAATAAGCCAGCTATTCAATCAACCTCTCTTTTTTTGTGTTCCCTCACCTGTGAGTGGGTGAATGCGTGTTATTCCCCAATCAAACAAAGTGCTATCGTGACTTAGCTGTCTAGATCTCTGACAATATTCCCAGATAATCAAGTTAGAGGTCTAGATAACCTGTATTATACACACATATATACATCATGGGACAACAAAACTCTCATCCCAGACATTCTTGATTGGCTCCAAATAAGCAAATCTAACACAAGCAGTGGGTGCAAAACATCCTTCTTAAGCTTCAAATTGGAACCATCTTGAAGCCGTTATACAAATAGAAGGTTGTGAGACCAGGTGAAAAAAGTCCCTGCAGTCATGAGAAGAAGGGAAGATAGAGTATACACACTTGTAGTCGTATGCAACGCGTATAGCTGGCCTTATATGTTTGCCTTGCCTATACAGACATGGCTCTCAGCACTGTAGCTATCAGGAGAGCAACTTTGCTTATTTCTTAGGTGTATAGTAGTTCACAAGATACATATTAACCACTGTTAACAAAGGACGCCATTTCAGATAGAAATACATTTTCTAATTTTAAAACAGTTCCTTGTGAGTGAAAAAATTCAATTACTATTTTTTTAAAGCCTCTTGGTATGTAGAGGCAAGGCACACTGAAGTCTCTTCACCCTTAAAAATCGAGTAAAAATAAATCAAGGTATTAAGAATCGAGAGTTTATAAACCAGGAAAGAGAGTTTGGAAGATGACAGCTGGGCAACAAGGGGACTCGTGGCTGAAAGTGCAAGCCTGACCACATGACTTCAAGCCTTGCAACCCCATGATGGGAAGAGCCCACTCCCCAAAGCTGTATTCTTGCTTCTATACGTGAGACCATGGCATGTAAGCTCAGCACATCTGAGCCACACAGGCACACGTGTACACGCGTTTTAAAAAATGGCAACCTATTAACTTCACCTGGAGAGCCGTAAGTAGGCGCTTCAAGGTTCACAACCCAGCTGAGTGTAACTCCCAGCCCAGGTTTTTAGGTGGATTCCTGTTCTTGTGTGCTACAATGAGCCAAACTGACCTTTTGTGGTGTGGTTGAATGAAAACATTTTAAAGCAATGCCGAAGCCAAAGCCACTACACAGAGTTCTACTTAAAATTATCAAATAGCATTAGAATGTGTTTTGTCACTTCAAACTGATTACCATTCTATATATAACTAAAAACACCCAGGTGAAAATGATTACTATACTTTGGATGCTGAACGTCCCACAGAGGTCTTGTATGAGAACCCCGATGCCAGAAGTGACAGTCTTGGGAGATGTAGAATAAATTCTGGGGGAGGTCTTTAGGTCGTTGGGTTACAGGTTCAAAGGCGGCTCCTGGACCCTGATCTCTTCACCTTTAAGTGCATAGTCTCCAGTGCCTATCCACAACCACCTAGACTGTCAAAAGTCTATTGGGGCGTGGAAGCCTGCCTTGGAGCCCCCCGCCCCCCCCCACCATGTACACCACAAACCCAAACAAATCTCTCCCTTTTGTGACTTCATTGCATCTGGTACTGTAATTCTTTTGTAGTCATGAAAAGTTGACTAAGACTTCTCTTCCTCAAACTTTGCTACAAGGTGTATATTTGAGATAGATAAGCACCCATTAAAATTAGTTATGTACTAATTGTCTGATGACTTGGTTTTAAACTATCTTCTAAAAGAAGGAATACATGTATGAATAAACCATTATCTTCCCTCCCCGATGAGTAAAATATAAGGGCCATTAAAAGCTGCCCCCACTAACAATTCTTGGCTGAATAAAGTAAACAGGGGCAAAGGGCACCTTGGCTGCCACTTAGGAAGTAAAATCGGAACACAGGGAAATCTGTAATTCTAATCACACTTGTGCCTTCTCTCCTCTTTTACATTTCTCATCCAAACATTCTTCGGAGCTCAATAGGCTTAGAGGAATTGGAACAGCACAGAGAACAAAGGTAGGGGAAATCCCAGAAAGAGCTTAAGTCTCTGTCCACACCATTTTAATAATTTCAGATCAGCTAATATTCTCTAGAAGATATGAAAGGCGCAAATGTAGGAAGGAACTGTAAAAAGTGATTCTGTCTTCTTTATATTACAGAAATAGCATTTTAGTTGGACACCTACAGAATTAACCACTGTGGACAAGGAATGCAACAAATAAATAAATGCACTAAAAAATTCTAAGAAAAACAAATATTAAATTAAATGTTTTAGTTTTAGCCAATGAAAGGCTACGTATTAAACAAGTGCATGAATTTTTTAAAAACGACACCATTTATATTCCCATGTGCAAATGACCTCTTATATATTAAGTATACACTGTTCTGAGACCAGGATAATCCCAGAAAGCAAGGTAGCCACCTACTGATTTTATCATGTTAGCTATTATAAATAGTTATAAAATATAACTATAACATATATAAGCATAATAAATACAAAATATTTATTAAGCATACACCATATGCAACTATGAAAATTGGGAGTGGGATATTTTTAGCAGGGAAAAAGAGATAAATCAATGCCAAAACATTTTAGTGTTTCACTGAATTATTCAAATTAATGAATGACACAAGAAAATTTCAGTATCATACCAAATTTGTACATGAATTATTTTTGCTGGGTTAGTCAAAAGCAAGCTCATACTTGCACATGACTTTTTCTTAATGAAAATATTGAGGGACTTGGCAGTTCTTCAGGGGTACCACTGATCTCTAAGAGCACAGCTGGCCCAGCTGTGTTAGTGGGAGCTGCTCTGTCCCCCCATTATCTCAGGCCATACATAAGTCTCCGGGGAAACAACCCGGGATGACTTTTGAAAGGTTATGCACTCCCGGCACCTACTTTGTGCCACATGTATCAAATGCAAACAATGACAACCATTTGCTTTTTCTGTAGGGAAGAGCTTCAGTAGTCCCTTATAGCATGGTAAAGGGCTAGCTCGGTGATCGATGCTCTAGAAAGGGAAGGTATATACAGGCTCTAGAAATGAAGCTCAACCCCTTACTACATACAGTGTGTTGTCGTCAGCCGGTACCAGAAACACCAAGATGTGAGAAGCTGTTGGAATCAAAGCCTCACTGGACAGTTGTCAACACACAGCCAAAGCTATGGTATTCAGGGGACAAAAATCTCATAAAGTGGGGGTTTCGCAGCTCAACCCCCAATGAACACAAACCAGTTAGTTTTCTAAGCAGCCAAGTGAGATGCGTTTCTTAAGGAAAGAGTACACTAAAATAAGTAAGTACGTGCATATAAGAGGGGTTGTTGCTTTGCTTGTTTGTCGAGGAGACAAGAATTGCCTTAAGCTGCAAGTATCTACTATATGTGTCAAGCAGTTTGGAAAGAGTGTGAATTGAATAGGTATTCAAATAAATATTGGTATATTTAAAAGAGGCCATGTAAGCGCTGGCTGATGGACTTTATGTTCCCAGAAACCCGGGAAGGATGCTATGAATTGAGTTTACTGGCAGAAAACCAATCCAGCAAATGTGCTACCACTGGGGAGTGCTACAGGCAAGACTCCTCGCATTGGAAAAAGGATGCGTTTTGTACTCAGGCATCCTTCGCAAATTCTTTGTTCACCCAACAACCTCCTCGAATCCATCCCTTCTGTTGACTTCAGCAACAGCTAGCATTACTCCACTAACTTAGCGCCAGACGCTCGCTATTGCGTGGGCTCACTAACACCTTCTCTTCTAGATAGAAGGTGTGCCTGCTCTCCCGTGGTAGGATACCCATAGGATGGACACAGGTAAAGGGAGCTTCTAGGGAGCCGTGGTCTCCACCTGGCACATTCACTGTCTTTCCCCGGGAGTCTCCGGCATATGTCGACCATGCTCAGAGCCCCCAAAACGTAGGGTTTGAACTCCTGTCGCCCTAAGGCTTTTTAGGCACGGAAGTATTTTGTGGGTCTGGGAGACACACTGAGCAGCTGGAGTTTCTGTAGGAAAGCTTGGTGCCATGGTGCAGAGGGACAACTAAAGGTCGTGTCTCAGTGTACTGGGTCTAGTGCCCATTACAAAAAAACATCGGCTGCGTCTGTCCAGCAAAGGCAAATAAAAGGGTTTATAATTTTACCATCAAACTTGTGGCAACTAGCACAATCCCTGTGAGGATGTGAGGAAACAGCAAAACCAGGACCCCGGGGGACATTCCCTCTGAGAACAGATCCACCACGGACTTGCCAGAGCGGCGGACAAACCTCCCCTTTACTAGTCCTTTCCACACATCACTGGAGACAGAGCAGCGGCGGGAAAGAAACGCTCCACAGCTCCGAGGGACCCCAGAACAGTTCGGAGGAAGCTGCTCCACTCCCGGGAGCACAGCAGGCGCCCCCAGAGACCGCACCTCGATTCCTCGAGTGGGGCTGGGGGACCCGAAGGGTCATCTTTTCACCGAGGACCACCTCTGGATGCCGGGTACAGCGTGGTCGCGAGCCCAGAGGTCCCCCGGGCGGCCGGAACCCCCCACACCCACACTGCCCCGCCAGCCAGCGGCTCTTACCTGGCCGCGGTGCATACGGCAGCCCCTTGACAGCTCCCCCAAGCCGCCACTGGAAAAGTTTCCGAACTTCTTCGCAGCTCTCCACGCCCTCGCTCCGGGTAGATCCAAGGAGAGCCAGGAGGAGAAGACAGCGCCAGCTCAGACGCCAGGTGCCGGCGTCCATCCTCGGTGTTCGGGTCGCGCCTTCCCCGCGGTGATCCCCACTCTCCCGCGCGCCCTGCGCCGCCGGCGCCGGGGGAAGATGCGTGGCGGAGGCTGGCGGGGATGCGATGCTCAGGCGGCCTCCGGCAGACCGCGGACGGCCCGCGGTTTCTCCTGCAAGGGCTCGGCTTTTTCCCTTGGAGCCCCGAGGCTGAGACGCTGGACCTCTTGGGCTCAGCATCGCCCGGGTCCCTCCAGGACCGGGGCGAGTTGACGCTGCGAGAGCTGAGCACAAGCTCCAGAGAAGCGGAGAATCTGCAAGCCACCGGCACCGGCGCTAGCAGCCGCAAACCTAGGCTGCGCCCGGCCGCGGAGCTCCGCGAAAGCCTGGCTGGACTGCCCCAGAACAGACCACGCCTCTAGCCACACCCCCGGCGAGCCGCCAGCTCCGCCCCAGCCCAGATCCCGCCGAGCCCAGCAAAGACCTGGCTGCGCGACCTCAGAAAAGAACCAAATTAGTGGAACGAAGCCCAGTCGTCTTCCTCCCGGTTCATTCAGGAAATCGTTGACCGGCTGAAACAAAAGTATGTCTAGAGAGGATCGGAGACAGGAGATGAGAACCATGGGTTGGAAACGTTTCTCTACAAACCAAGGTCCTATATGCATGGGAATTTGTATTCAAATTTCAAGAACTAGACCTGGGCACAATAGGAAAGGCCTTTGAGAAACCTAGTAACACTTAGGTTTCAAAGAAGCCTGGAGCAGAAGTTAATTTTAAAGGCTTTATGTTAGCGCTTTGGGGTGTTTTCCCTGTAATAATAACTACGAATTAACTAAGAATGGCAGGATCCCATTCTTAGAATCACGGTAAAGTCCAGCTTATTCTCTTTAACATCATAGCTCACTTTAGAGGCCTTTCTGAGCTTTGACACGTTTGAGAGTTTGTCTTTAATATTTCTCAGAGAGTAACTAAAACAAAAGTGGTCAGTGGAGTTTCTCCCCAGGAACACAGAAACAACAAACATACTGGACAAGTAAAAGCCAACAAAGAAAATTTGTCAAGTTTAGAGTTTGCAAAACCAGGAACCAAAAGGCGAAATTCAGCTAACCTGGACAAGAGCAGTCCCTCATCACAGTCATGTGGTGTGGGGAGGGGAGGGGGGACTCTTATCAACTACTTTAAGAGAATTTCCTTGTAAGCTGACCCCTTGACATGATGAATAATTTTCAGTCTTATCTAAGTGCCATGGGGTTTTTCTAATGTCCATTTGATATCAAAGGCAGCATTTTTCGAAGGTGATTTCTTGCTATGGCTGGGCCTCTATTTCAGAGTGAAATACTACCCACTTGACTTTCTACATCTGTTCCAGGAGATTTATCTGTGTTGTTGCTCTGAGACCACCAATGGAGTTTGGCCTTTGTTCGGAGGGCCGGGAGCATTCAGCAGCCAGAGTGAACTATAGAATTTTCTGACGAATAAGGTGGGGCCAAAAGAACTTCGGAGCAGGAAAGAGTAGAGAGTAGAGTTGCTGGTCGTTTTCACAACTGTGGATCTATCCACTTTTACCCTAATATCTGACTCCCAACCATTTTTATTAATAAAATAACAGAACAAGATGCTTTATACAGGGTCCAATGTGGGAGCATGTATTTCCACATGCCACCTAAGAAAGCTTAAAAAAAAAATAAGTTTCAAACACAGAGTCAGACTTGGCTTCCTAGCCCAGCAATCTCCCAGGCTGGCTACAGTGAACAGAGATGGGGCTCCCAGCCATTGCCTGCATGCTTGGGCCAGTCAGGGCCATGTGCAATGCAAAGACACATGGTGGGTTTAAGGTTTGGCTCACATGGTCAAAGAAGGCTGCAAGTGTGCAGTAAAGCAGTCCAGACTGAGAAAACCTTTAAAAAGATACAGTGAAAACTGGATATAGACCATCATAGAAAAAATAGTTTAAAAATAATAAACTCTTTAAAGAGAGAGTAAACTAATATTTTTAAAAGCCACATAAAAATGGGAAATACACAGGGCATCTGGATCCTGCATGGTGTTTTTTGACTTTGCATGTTTTTGAGTGCTGATGAGTAAATGGCACCTGCTGAGAGACATTGGGTTATGTGAAAGGGATTGCTGAGTTAAACTAGCCTGTATGCTTTAGAGATGTCTTGGCTTCAGAATGGAAGTTGCAAAGTATGTTGCATTGGGGAAGAGGTTATATTTTTGTTTCCTCAGGAAACAAAAAGTTATGGTTCTCTTCAAAATCAGTGAAGATCAAATTTGATTAGAGAGACATCTTGAAAATCTTGGCTACAGACACAGAGAAAGAAACCAAGGCAGACTACAGGATGGGTGACATATATATATGTTGATCCCTCTGTTATGAGAACTGCTCTGAAACTGGATGAAACACGATAAATCTTTTTTGTAGGCAGAAGTTTCTGTCCCCAAAGCCCCAAGTAACCACACAGAGACTTAATTGCAAATGCTGGGCTGAAAGTTCAGGCTTGTTACCAGTTAACGGTTACATTTAAACTAATCCACATTTCTTATCTATGCTTTGCCACATGGTGGTACATTTGTTCAGTACAGCATATTCACCTTTCTCCACTGTGTGTCAGCTTATGACTCCTCTGACTCTGCCTTTCTTCATTCCAGCATCTTTAGTTTGGTTGTCCCACTATACTTCCAGAATGGCTACCAGCCTGTCAGTTCTTTATTAAACCAATTCATGTGACAAATCTTTACAGTATACAAAAGGATTGTTTCACAGCACTCATGGGATACAGAGTCCTCATGACATTATTTACATGCCATCCTTTCATATGGCATGGATAGAGGTGTGATTACATGGTAAAAAAACAGACCTATAAAACTAGCAGGTGCCAACACAACCGGAATGTTTGTCAGCATATAGGCAGTTGGTTAAAAGATATTATTGGTCATAGAAAGGGAGGAAACTAAACAAAGGAGATTAGATTCAGGGATCTCATTCTGGAAAGAAGAAAAGGGGGATATAGGAATGATAGGATAAAAGGGTAGATTACTGATTCTACTTTTAAACTAAAAAAAGCAAATACTAGTCTCATATACTTTACATTGGTATAGATTTCTGTAATTGACACAAAGGTTATTTTTGTTAAACTATATATATAGTTTTGTTTTTCCTTACACATATATATATATACATATATGTATATTTACATATACATATATATTGTTTAACAAAATATATATACATATATATATATTTCTACCCTTAAGATATGTTTTTGTATATTGATACAAATTTAATTACTTTTGTTATATTGTATATATGTTTCTATTCCTGTTGAAGACATATTTGTATACTGATACAAATTTAAGGTTACTTTTGTTATACTGTATATATGTCTCTACTCTTGTTTAAGACATTTTTGTATATTGATACAAATTTAAGGTTACTTTGTTATGCAGTATATATGTTTCTACTCTTAAGGTTTGCAGCTCATCTAAAAATGTAAAGTTCTAGTCCTTGAAAGCTATTAGCATAATGAAGAAAGACAAGTTACTAATTATCCATCTATAACAATCAAATAATTGATTTACAGTCATGCTAGGTATATTTTCAAATTCAAACAGATATATTTTAAATAAATAGATGGTCTGCAAACACTTCAGAATTCTACAGAATATGGCATTTAAAATGTTTTAGTAACATGGGGCTTTTCATGTCTGCTCCTGGCACTACCAATTTACTTCAAAAGAGATGATGGACATCTAAGAACCTCCATATGGAGTTTTCTTCCTTTGTGGTAAGAAACTGACCTTTTCTTGACTGCTGACAGTATGCTGTCTAAATTGGACAAGCAGGACACAAAAGAAAGTAGCTGCTGATCTTTGCCAAGACAAGATAGGACATTCCTTCAAAATTTTCTGCTTAAAAAAAAAAAGTCTATTCTGGGCCGGGGGCCAAAGAGGAATGCCCCAGAGTTGCAGAGGAACCTTGGGATGACTGTCCAGATGTCTCTGTCGATCTCTGATGGGGTTGAATACTAGATTGTTATAGTGACAGTTTTCCTTGGCTAAGTTAGAAAATAAATTAAGCACAAAACTTTGAACTCACCAAGAAAGTACAGAAGGAATATTTTCTCTGAATATGCCAAATACAAATGAACTGGACATTGTGAATGTAATAATGTAATATTTGCTTGATAATTATTCTTATTGTATAAGTTTTACTATGTTGCAGTTAAAACTCTTTCCTTTTTATTTAGACAAAGGGAGGACACATTATGGGACATTTGTTTATGTAGTAGCTACAAGACCCAGTCAGGCCTTGGTTAGAAGGGCAGGCTTCACATTCCGCTGTCCAGAATGAGCTACAGAGCTTTCTGACAGACTCAGAAGATAGACAGACACACAAGAGGAAAACAGGGGGAGGGGGCCGCAGGAGGTACAGGACACTTTCAAGTGGGGAAGCATGATGGAGACCAGAGGTTGATGGTCATTCTCTGTTGCTCTGTAGATCTATCGGATTTTACCCTGATGTCTGACCTTTTTTTTTTTTTTTTTTTTTTTTTAACTAATAAAACAATAAAAGAAGCTGCTTTAGGAATCCAGTCTTCCAACACTATGAGTTTTTCCTTACAAGCTTTCTTAATAAATGAGAATAGAAAACATTAGCTTATTTAAATTCTAGGCCTTCAAGCAAGGCTTTGCATATGTATCTTAGAAAGAAACTATTCATGAATCTCTTCTGCTTTGATGTTCCATTGTGGAAAAGATTTTTGGGAGTCAGCTACATCCATATGAAGAAACAAGAACTGCCATGATCATCTGTGCAGCTCTCATGTGCTAAATAATATTCTAAGTGCTATACGAGTTCTCCTTTCCTAACTCTTTATAACATCATTATAAAGTTGTTACTACCAATACTGTTTTACAAATAAGCAGATGAAAATAGATATGAGAGACAGTTTTTCCAAGGCCAAAGGCAGATGGGGGAAACAGGAGTCAAATCAGGACTTCAAAATCCAGTACAAGAGTTTCTCAGCCATTTCACACTTCACCTAGACGCCTACTCAGTTACATCCAGTAAGACTAAAGACTCTTCATTAATCCACCAGACTTTTTAAAACTAGATATATACTTTTTTCTGAGCATCCTCATGTGTTGATATGAAACACACTCTTAAGTTTCCCCAATGCTTTCTTATTCCCACCAGACTTTCTTCTTGTTAGAGCTGATCACCGTAGACCATTGGAATGAAAAGGAGTCTGTGCTGCCCAGTCTGATCCCTTCAACTGTAGTTTGCAAAACACTTTCTCTACAGAAGAAAGTCACAAACACAACTGAGACATTGATGGCTTGAGTATCAAGTATTGATTAGACGATGGGATGTAAAAAGCTTCACTACGCTTAACTAGGCTTAGAGAGAAGTACTTGCAACTTCTCAGTGGTTTTATACTCTCAAACAGGTAGGGAAGCACACACAGCAACTGAATAGATTCTAATGGGAAAATATAAATGGTCCACATTTTGCTAATGTCCTTGTCCCTCCTACCCCATTGCCACAGAGGATGAATTAACATGTGGCTGGGAAGGCTGTTTTTTCTTCTTCTCGGTATTTTTATGTCACCCAAACAAA